CCAGTGTCTTGTGTCCATTTGTTATGCTTATATGCATGCATACAAGTACTTTGGTTGATCTCTTACCTCCTCCCCACCCCCTCCCCAGCCTTCCACTGTAATTGGGCAGTCTGTTCGATGCTGCTCTGCCACTGTATCTACCTTTTTGTTCTTCAGGTTATAATGTTCTTTATTATCCATAAATGAGTGAGATCATGTGGTATTTTTCATTCACTGACTGGCTTATTTTACTTAGCATAATGCTCTCCAGTTTCATCCATGCTGCTGCAAATGGTCAGAATTCCTTCTTTTTTATAGCAGTATAGTATTCCATTGTGTAGATGTACCATAGTTTTCTAATCCACTAAAATATGGAACGCTTCACAAATTTGCATGTCATCCTTGCGCAGGGGCCATGCTAATCTTCTTTGTATCGTTCCAATTTTAGTATATATACTGCTGAAGCGAGCACTGTGAAAACCATTTTGAAAAGCACATACAACAAAAGTGACAGCACAGAAATTATATTTGGAATGTTATATACAAAGCAAAAGTTGGTTAATAACCATATTAATTATCTGGTCATCAGAAAGTGATGCTTTAAGCATATAATATTATTTACTACCACAATGTTCCTGATACGTAGACATTTTATTGTGCTTTGGTTCTATGTTAGAGAAATTAGTTAGGTGTTTTGGGTTGATGTACCAACCATATAATGTTTCTGATTTAAATTAATGGAAACAGGATCCCAGGCAGCACTTGGGGGGCAGTAATAAATTATTAACTTATGTGGGAAGTACCTGTTTTTTATTATCTTGTAGAATCAGAACTACCCTACTATTGATATTTTTTCTATGCTATTTCTTTCCGTTTTCAACTTTTTAAAAACTGAACCATTGAGTGTAAGTTGTCTATACGATGCCCCAAAACTTGCAAATTCTTTAGTACATAATTCCTATAAACAAAGATATTTCCCACATAATCATAATAAACCATCAAAATTGGTAAATTAACACTAATGCACTACTAGCATAATTCATACACTCCACCCAAATTTTGTCTGTTGTCTAAAAACGCTACTTATACTAAAAAGATCCAGTCCAGAATTATGTGTTGCGTTTTGTTGTCATGTCTCTTTAGCCTCCTTCAAATTGTAGTAAGTTCTCTATGTTTTCTTGTCTTTTATAACCTTGACACTTTTGAAGAATGTCTCTCAATTTGGGTTTGCCTAATGTGTCTTATAATTAGATTCAGGGTTTGAGTTTTGGTCAGGAATGTCACATTGTATCCTGACACAGAGAAATGCTAAAAGTTAGTTTATAAAAAAACAAAAGTAAAGAAATTACTTAAAACTGGACAGAACAACCCATAGTTTTTTACTTTGTTCTCAGCGATAAATTTAACCAACGGCTGTGGTACCAGTAAACATTACTGCTGCTTACCAAACCACTTCAAAATTTACAACTTAAAACAACACAACCATGTTTTAGTTCATGATTCTTTGAGTTGACAATTTAGTTGGGTCCAACTGGGAGTGTTCTTCTCGTCTGGGTTGGGCTCAGATGATCTCAGACAGGCTTACTCATGAGTCTGTGGTCAGCTGGAGGGTCAGCCAAAGGGTCAACTGGGATGAGTAATTCCTTCAGGCTCCAAAGTTTCCAAGAGAAAGAGCAGAAGCACACAGGCCTCTTGAGGTCCAGGCTCAGAAGTGAGACATTATCACTTCTGTCACATCTATTGGCCAGAAATCATAAGATCAGGCAGACTCAGATTTCATATAACTAACAATTTCCATGGGTGAAAAGAGCAAGTGCTTTTGATTAAATAGTGAATTCAAAGTGGAAGTTGCTCTGGTTACTTATGGCTGTATAACAAACTACCGCAAACTCAGTGGCTTAAAACGGCCGATTTATTTTGCTCATGATTTTTATACATCATGAATTCTAGAAGAGTTTGTTTCTGATCCGCAAGTCATCGCTGTGATTATGAGGCCTAGATAACTCTTCCACTCATATGTGGCACATCAAATGTCTTTGGCCTGTCTCTCCCCACACATGATATCTCATCCTCCGGGGTCTTCACTCGTGGTTGGGCTCCTCACAGCATGGTGGATCAGGATAGTGTACTTCTCAAGTGGTGGCTCTGAAACCGGAAGTGAAAGTTGCCAATCTCCTAAAACCTAGATTCAAAAACTGCTGCAACTTCACTTTGGCCGTATTCAATTGCTCAAAACAGTCACAGACTCTAATCAGATCTAAGGGGAGGGATACAGATTCCCTCTTATCCATGGGAAAAGTATCAATCTTTAATCTGCCACAGTCTGCCCTGTGGTCACAAACTGTTTATATTTTTTCCACATGCAAAATGTGCTAACCCCCTTCCACAGGCCCCACAAGTCTCACCTTATTATGTCATGAGGCTTAGGCTTGAAATGACAGATCTCAGGGCGAGATGCAGATAAGACTCCTTGGGTTTGGTTCCTCAGGTATGTGTCCTCTTAATTGTGAATTTAAAAATAAGTTACACACACACACACACACACACACACACACACACATAATGTTGGGGCAAGCATGTGTAGACAAGCCCTTTCAAAAAGGGGGAAGTAGGAGGCATGGAGCAGTCAATGCTCCATAATGATATGAGGTCCAGCTAGGAACACGCTGCCAGTTCCTTGATTCAGCCTTGGTCTTGCATCCTTGGTATGATTCTCAGTGGCCCTTGGTTATGACCTTTGGGCTCTTGGTTCTGCCTTAGTCATTCTTCATTTTCCATAAGAAATAGCCTGTGTTTTCTGCTGAGTGAGTTTCTTAGCCTGAATCATCCCTGTCTTAGTTTAGTGGTCCAAAGACTTCTTTTATTTTTATTTTTTAAATATATTTTTATTGATTTCAGAGAGGAAGGGAGAGGGAGAGAGAGATAGAAACATCAATGATGAGAGAGAATTATTCATCGGCTGCCTCCTGCATGCCCCCCACTGGGGATCAAGCCCGCAACCTGGGCATGTGCCCCTGACCAGAATCGAACCCAGGACCCCTCAGTTTGCAGGTGGACGCTCTATCCACTGAACTAAACCAGCCAGGGCCAAAGCCCTCTTTTAAATTGATATTGCCTCTGGCCCTTTCAGTCCAAGCTGGTATAATTCTTTTAAAAACATCATAGGATTCTTGTGTATCAAATTTATAATCTATTCTATTACATAAGAGCCATGCCCACAAATATTTTTGAGTGAGCTCTTCTCTGCCTTTGGCCCTCTGCAAATCTGCTTAAGGATGGGGCAGTATCTTTAAGATTATTAGAATCTCTGATGTTTAACCAAGAAGGACCATAAGGCACACTATTAAAATCTTTTGTCAAGCAGATAAGATCCATGGGCCATCAACTTAAATGTTTCTGATATCTTATCAAGGAGATTGATGCTTGCAGCTTTGACTTCTTTTTACTGCCCTGGTTTTGATCTTTACCTGGAGGATATTTCTTGCTTTTAAAATGTTTTCTTAGCTGGAAAACAGATGAGAAATCATCCTGTTTTGTTTTGGTTTGGTTTTGAGTTGAATCTCATTCTATTTTTTGAAATCAGCAAATGATGGGTCCTATGTATTTTCTCTCAGTTCTGCTAAAATTTTTAAATAACTTTTTTAGCTTATTTCTCCCTATTTATACTTTATCGTATGCAGATACAAGAACTTGTGGGCACTTGTAACATTCTGCCTGAAAATCTGCTTACCAAGATCCACTAGTTTATTAGTTGCATTTTATACTTTTCAAAATATGTCAGGTGACACTTTTGCTAAATCTTCTGCAACTACACTGTATGAGCTGCCCTCCTGCCAAGTCTTAGTAATAACCGCTTGTCCTTCCAGCCTCCATTGCACTCTCTTTGAAGCCTTTTCAGTCTCTGACCACTGTCCAGTGTCAAAATCAATGCCACATATTTTAGTTTTTTGTAATGACAGCACTTATGTTTCTGCTATTTAATGCTGCATAGCAAACTACCACCAAATGAAGAATCCCAAACAAGTATTTTATTTGCTCAAAATTTGGAAGTTGGAAAATTCTGGATGACCTCAGCTGGGCAACTTGTGTCTGATCCATTTGTCATCAACTGGGGTCAATGGGGCTGGGTATCCACTTCTGGGATGCCTCATATGTCACACTTATATGTCTAGCATCTCAGTGCTCCTTGATCTCTATCTTGCTCCACATGGTGTCTCACCCTCCACTTCCTGTACACAGGGCTTTTGCTTCTCACAGCACGGTACCCTCCGGGTAGTTGTACTTCTCCATGGAAGCTGGCTTCCAAGAGTGAGTGTCCCACATGACAAGTAAAAGCTGTCAATCTCTTCAGGCTGGGCCCTGAAACTGGCAGAGAGTCACTTCCACCATATTCTACTCATGAGAGCAGCCATGGGGCCCACCTCAGTTCAAATGGAGAAAACACAGATGGACCCTGCTCTCTGGAAAGGATTCCCTCATCCATTCTTCTCTGGGGTCACTGGCTCTGTCTTCCAGAAATATTTATTCAAGACACATTTATTGAGCATTCACCAAGCCCCTAAGAACAAGGCACCCATAAATAAATAATTTTAATGCAAAGTGGTAAGTTTAATGATAGAAGTGCAAGGTGTTGGGGAGAGTCAAATAAGAACATGTCATCATCCTGGCAGTCAGCACAGACCTCTTTGAGATGGCACTGAATTAAATCTTAAGCAATTAGTAGGTATTAGCCAGGTAAAAAGGAAGGAGGGGATTCCAGAAAATAAAGAGAAGCATCGTGGTATGGGCAAGAAACTCAGAATCCTTTGATTTTCCTGAAGCAGAAAACATTAGGAAGTGAGTGGCAAGAAGTGAGGCTTCAAAAGAAAACAGGAATCACATCCTGAAGAGCCTTGGATACCATGTCCAAGGAGCTTAAATTCTATCGTAGAGGGGGTGGGGAGCATCGAAGCGTTTCAGTGGGCAGTAGCACAGTCTGACTGACATTTGTGAAGATGAGCCTGGTTGATATGTGGACAGATATGGCAGGTCCTAAAGATAACCTGCACCAGGTCTGATTTGTTTTATTGTAACTCACACACACCATGGCCCCAGTGGGAGCAGTATCTGTAAGGGCTTATGTTCTGGGAATCAGCCCAATGGCCAGTGTGTCTAGGTCTAATTCCAAAGAGAATCTAATTGCTCATCCATAATTTCTCAATCCCTTTATTCTCAACTAGAGGCCCAGCACATGATTAAATCGTGCGCGTGTAGGGTCCCCTAGGCCTAGCCTGCCATCAGGGTCATGTCCACTGCCCCACGACGCCTCGCACGCTCTAAGGATGCTGCCAGCACCCCGCAACGCTCCGCCGATGCTGCCGGTGCCCCGGGAGGGGAGACGTGGGGGGAGGGCTCAAGAGGTGCTTCAGTACCTCCTGGTGGTCAGTTGTTTGGTCGTTCCACCATTACGGTGTCACAACCACAAGCCTTTTATGATATAGATATCTCTACCATCCCTCAGCTGCTCCAATCTTTTCTCTTTATGCCTTAATATTATCTCTTTGCTATAATTTGGGAAAGTATATAGACACACAGCAGTCATTTAGAATTCTGAACTCTTACTGGGTAAGTGTTTTAAGGACCCCTGCTCAGGGGCTAAGAGTGTACTTTGATTCTCTGTTCTACTATCTTCCTTGACCACATCTGAAATGAGCCTTAGAGAATGTGCTTTCCTTGGGAACTAGCCTCCTGCCCATCAAAAAGTGGGTACGCCCTAATCGGTTTGGCTCAGTGGATAGAGCGTCAGCCTGCGGACTGAAAGGTCCTGGGTTCGATTCTGGTCAAGGGCATGTACCTTGGTTGCGGGCACATCCCCAGTGTGGGGTGTGCAGGAGGCAGCTGATCGATGTTTCTCTCTCAATGATGTTTCTAACTCTCTATCCCTCTCCCTTCCTCTCTGTAAAAAGTCAATAAAATATATATTTTTTTTAAAAAAGTGGGTACCCAAGGATCTTTTGAAAGTCATAGACTTTTAAAGTTTAAAATTTTTAAATATAAATTATATATGTCATACTTACATTGCAATTAAAACTAGCCACATTTCAAGGCTGCTGAAACATGTGTTATCCAGCATGGTTGTCGCTAGCCAGATCTGCCTATTGAGTCCTTGAAATGTGTGTAGTCTGAATTGCGATGTAAGTATAAAATACCAGATTTCAAAGACTTAATATGAAAAAAGAGATGTAAAATATCTCATGAATAATTTTTAATATTGATTACCTGCGAAAATAATATTTTTGATATGTTGGGTTAAATCAGTGATTCCGAAAGTGGGCGCTACCGCCCCCTGGTGGGCGCTGCAGCGATCCAGGGGGGCGGTGATGGCCACAGGTGCATTTGTTTTAACTTTTTTTGTATTACCTTTCTATTCTGAGTTCAATAAATAGTTTCATAATTTCAAACTTCAATGTTTCTAATTTACACCTTTCTTTACTATATTTTACGAAAAAGGTAGAAACATTAATACACATATCTTTCTGTTTAATTGCTATTAAAATTTAAAAAAAATTAATTTCCAGGGGGCGCTGAGTAATATTTTTTCTGGAAAGGGGGCGGTAGGCCAAATAAGTTTGGGAACCACTGGGTTAAATGAAGTATATCACTAAAATTTATTTTAATATTTTTCTTTTATTTTTTAAATGTGAATACTAAAAATTCAAACTTACAAATATGGCCTGCATTATGTTTCTATTGAACTGGTGCTAGCCTTGAAAGAATCAAAGGAAATGTATCAAAGTGCACACTGTTTCTTAAAGTTTCCACCTAGAGGTAACACACATAACTTCTGCTTCTATTTCTTCAGCCAGAATAAGTCACATGGGCGTGTCTGACTTTGTTAGGAGAAAGGAAGTTTAATTGAACCATATGCACTCAGGAGCCCCAGAATAATTTAGTCTGTAGTACTGAGGACAGCCACATATCCTTTCCTTAATCAATTTCGTTAATGCCACACATGAAACAGACTTAATATTAAATGCCATTGAAAGTTGAAACCCCATCCATTTATTATTTCCAAGATGATGTGAAACAGACATTCCTAGGACAGAAATAAGAAACACTAAAGAACCTATGGCAGCCCTGCTTAAAAGCAGCAATACACATCAGTGCTGACCACACCAGGGAAAAGCTGCAGGAGGCAGACCCTTTTGGTGGGGAGCAGAGAGGGAGTAGCTATTCGTGAGCCAACATGTCACCAAATCCTATATAATAAAAGGCTAATATGCAAATTGTCCCCTCCACCGGGAGTTCAACCAGGGGGCGGGGCCGGCCAGCCAACCTCTTGTGTCCCCACCCCCAGCCGCCTGGCCCAATCAGCCTGATCAGGGCAGGCTGGCCAGACCACATCTGTGCACGAATTCCTGCACCGGGCCCCTAGTAAATAAATATGGATGCACAACCACAGAGTACAGGTATTTAAAGCAGCTGTGAGTTAAAAAGCAGTCTGCATGTGTGCATGACATGTCATCAGAGGAGCTGTGGGGGCAGTGACTTAGCATAAAGACAGGCAGAAAGCTGGGACTGGGAGAGTGAAGAACAGGCAGAACAGGCAGCAGCTGTGGATCTGGGCTGCACAGCAGGTCTGCAACCTGATAGGGAGCAGGGTGAGGTGCACATGCAAACAAGCTTTAGAGCAAAGTTGTGAATCAGACCACCAGTCTGAGCTGCACAATGGTGGTCAGGGAAAATAGTGGGGTAAGCACCAGCTAGGAAGGTGAGAAACAGGTGGCCTCCACACTGCAGAGAGGCCAAGAGAGTGGCCTGACACGGCACCGGAAGGAAGGGGGCAGGGCGAGCTGAACAAAAGCAGAGGTGCAAAACACCAAGAGGAAACCTCAGTGTTGTGGGTAATCTACAGCCACAACTAGGACACTTCCTGTTTGCTTCTTTCTGGTTTGGAATTAGTTCCTGGCTTAATCCGGGAACTATTGGTGGGAGAAGGTAAGCGGGCGAATCTGCCAGGAGCAGGGAGTAGTCACAGAGATATAAGAGAGGATCCTGACCATTGCACATCAAAAGAACAGTGGGGTCTGTCAAGGTCCCATGGAAAGATATGTGATGCCTTTACAGGTGCATGTGAGCCTCGTGACCCATTTTCAGTGGAGCATGAATGTGCTCATCCAGGAGTGGTCGTGGTTGGCCCCGTGCCAGACACATTATTTTGTTTCAGCCTTCCGTGTGGTCTGCACTCCACCCTGATAACCTGACTGCCAAGGCCAAGCAGAACAGTCTGGACGCATGGTTCACCCCAAGGCTGGCAGTGGAACAGCAAATTATCCCCAAGACTCGGTCAGCGGAGTCATCTCCTTTCTAAGTGCTCATGCTGTAGTTTTGTTTGTTTGTTTAATTGCTTGGCTGGGTGGTGATGGTGGTGTTATTTGGGGTTTCTTCCTTCCTTCCTCTCCTTTCTCTTAGCATGAAGATTATTTGCCTACATTGGGAGTGGGGGGAGGAAACTAATCTGAAATAATGAGAAGATAGAAGCGTGGGAACAGGCTTAAGGGCAGGGCTTTCTGAAAGGATGGCCAGAGTTGGCTCACTTGTTAGAGGCCATTAGGCTCTGTAATAAGAGGAGAGACTGGCACTATGTCTTTTGCTTCTGAAGCCTAAAGAAGGAAGGACTAGGAATGTGGAGAAAACTTGAAGGGAGAGGCAGGCCAAAGGCCCTCTGTCCTCCTATTTTCTTACCACACTCTCTCCTGGGACTTCATCCATTCCTGTGGCTTTAAATGCCATCTGTGTGCTGACAACCCCCAAATCCCTCTCTCTAGGTCAGACCCCACTACCAGGTTCCAGGTGGTAGTCTAGGTTCCCACTGACGTCCCCATTTGTCTGACTCACAAACAGCTGAAACGTAATTCCAAAACTTGAACAGATTCCCACGAATACATTCTCTCCTCAGACTTTCCCATCTTAGTTAATGACACTACCACAGACCAGTCTCCCAAGTGAGAAATCTAAGAGTCACACTTGCTTCCTCTTTTGCTCACTTCTCACATAGAATTCAACAGGAAGTCAAGTGGATGGAGAAATCCTCTATTCCTCCCCCAAGGCCGCTGCCCTCGGCCGCAGCCTCCTTCCAGGTTCCCTTGCTTTCTGTCTCTTCTGCCTCCTACAGCCTATTCTCCATGCACTTTGAAGCAGGAATGACCTTGGAATTGCAATTATTTCATTTTATTCTCCCACTTCAGTGGCTTAATTTTCATCCAAACTCGCTATGGCCCTCCTCCATCCTGCAACTGGTCATGTTTTTAATGCTCATCTTGTACCACTCTCCCTGCTTGTTCACATCATCAGCTACCCTGATGTCTTCCATTCTTTAACATACCTCCCTCAGGGAGTTTGCATATGCTGTTCTTTCTGGCAGTAACACTCTCCCTTCCTTCACCTGCTTGCATGATCACTGCCTCCCCATTCTTTTTGTCCTACCTCTTGTCACCTCCTCAGAAAGGCCTTCCCTGAACGTCACCCTTCCCTAGTATTCTGTCTCTGCCTCTGGCTCATTACATTCAAAGCCCATTTCACAATGTGTACCAGTGTTTTAATTTAGTGTTTTGTTGTTTGAGCCATTAGCACCTAGCCTAAAGCTTACCTATAGAAGATACTAACTGTTTTTGCTGTTATTGTTTGGTCCATATTTCTTACACCTGAATTCCACCATCATAGTTGCCTGAAAGTCACCTGGTAACTTGGGAGAGTCACCAAACAAATGTCCAGAAGTGGTGCTGACTGAAGGGATTAGCATGTCAGAGAAAACTGTCCATCAAATAAGTAGGAATATTTTTCCCAAAAATTCTTTACAGGTTTCAATGGTTTTTTTACATTAACAAGTAGGAATATTTTTCAGTGTGTGCTTTGAGATCTCACCCATCAGCCATTCACTCACCACATAAGCAGGAGAAATCCACTCTGTGCTTTAGACCTTGTCCACTACACATCTGATCACTGCATAAGGATACCCCATGGGAGCACAGCAGGATATGCATAGATGCTAGCAGTCTACTGGAAGCCTGGCAAGATCAGGGAAGAGTTCCAAGTTGTCCTGTGCTGCTGGTCCAGGGCACACTGGTACACCTGAGCCTTAGTCAGAGAAAATAGCTCTATTTCATAGTAATTAGACTTTACCAGTGTCCAGTTCCCATGCATCACATTGCAACAGAAGACCTGCCTTCTTAGAGGGGTAACTTAGAAAAAGGAATAGGGTCCAACGTGTCAAGGGAGGCTGAAGAAACATCACCCAGGGCAGTGGGAGAGTGTGTGCCAGAGTGTAAAAGTAAAACTCCATTAGGAGGAAAGGCGTACAGGAACATGAGTCAAGTAGAGATGATGGGAGCCAAACTTGGAAGGCACACAGCAGTCAGCCTGGGAAGTTCCTCCTAGAGTTGCCCCCACCTCCCAGGGCAAGAGACCTGCTTTTGTCTCTGCAGTGTGGTAGGGTGCCAGAAATTCCACCTGCTCAGCTCTGCTTAAGGACTGTGTGCCTGACTGGCCATAAAATCCCCTTGCAGTTTTAAGAATTTAAGGAGTTGCATCAGATTGCTGGCAAGGCACTCAGACTGAAACACAGGTCAGGAGGGAAGAGACAAGATGTGACAAGACACAGTATACTGTGGAATGGCTACTTGAGCACCAGGTGTGGAGTATCTGCCCTCAGGGCCAGTAACTCAATCCTTGTCTCTACCTAATGACTCATTTAAGCATATCCCACAACTCTGTAGTGCAGTGGTTCTCAACCTTGGCTGCACATTAGAATCACCTGGGAATC